AACCAGAGTTTGAGTTGTACTGTTTAGTCACCAACGGACTTACGAGATAATGTCGACTTATTAATATTTGCAGTTATTTCGGATTAGTTTGATGAATGAAAGTTTTGTACTATTTTTTTGCATATCCGAGTTCTCTACAAAGCAAGTTTCGCTGTACAGGACTCAGCACATTGACAATTTGCGCTGCTCGTTACTGGCTGCCGCACTCACTACGACCCCCCCCCCTCTCCTGCCGGCCAAATACGACCCCCCTCTCCTGGGGCGGCCAAATACGCCCTCCCCCCATGGGGAATCCCCAACCAATGCTGTGCCCTGGTGGGCGCTGCCTTAAAATAACCTGGTTACGGCCTGATCGAGATCTGTAACCTTTTCGAGTAGATTCATAGCTACGTGTGGTCTGCCTAGTAGTAGAAAGAAGTATTCTTGAATGATTCATGCGTGACGTCGCCCATGTTTTGATGTTGATCAATGTCCCAGCGACATCGCTTTGGAATCCCACCAATAACACAGTGAAATCTTTATCCCATGCACATCTGCTTTTGGCTAAGCAATCTACTTTTCTCTTTGAGAGATCCTGCGAGGGACATGTGCATGATGTACGCAAGGAACTCCACCACTTGATACCGAAGCACAAGATCAAAGAAAAGCTATTCCGTGTCTACAAGAAAAAGAAAACTCGGTTGCGATCATTCGATGCGCTTTGTCAGTCTGGTAAAACACATAAGGTATCCTTTATGAAAAACCTTCTTTGTGACTGAGTTAGCGGAGAAGCATGGCAGCCAGCTAGGTGGAGCCTAGAGAGGTTGCCAACACTGGTGGTTACGTTCGGACTGCGCCTTCCAGAAGCTTGAGTAAACGGTCGTCATTCTGTGCTGGTGGCCGACCTATACGTTGCTACCTTCAAATTGAATAACTCCAGCCTAGAAGCGCTGGAGCTCTGTCATGGCATGCGATATCATTCCTGAACAACACAAGTTTTAGCTTCCTTGACTATGGCGGAGTGGCCCTATAGGATCTCATAATACGAGATAGGTCGAAACGTTCAGCTTTAGAGGACATTTAGGATTCGAAAGCTTTCACAAAGTCACGATATACACATCGACAAAAACCTTAGAGTGGACAAACTTAGCGGATTATGTATTGTAGGATGATAAGTAGCGTCTCAAAAACTAGGCCCGACTGTATGGTACGGATGTGCCGTTAGCGATCATTGCCATAGGATCAAACATAAGATACCTCAGAGTGCGCGACAGCCAAACATGTGAAACATGCTGTTTGCTTGCCTAAATGTCCCTCTGACCTGCCCAACCAGCTCCTATGATGGGTACTCCAAATTTGCAGGTCACACCGGGAGGTCAAGTAAGCATGAAACTTTGGAGCTTACGCCTTATGTAGGTTTCATTCCCTATTTTCTTGATTTGCGTCACATAATGAGCAAGGCAAGTGCCATTACCCACTTATCCAAACATAGTAAGACGACCTGCCTGTTCCAGAGACTCGTCTGTAGTTTTTTTTTGCAGCGAAGTTCTCGGTTGGGATCAATTATATAATCACATTATGAGCAAGGAGTACCAATACATGTGTACATTCTATACTGCATGAATAGAGCACAGAAATGACCTTCTTGAACTCTTTCGTCATCCATTTGCTTTCCTCTATAAGATTTTTGAGTGCACTGAGAATCTCCACGACCATCTCTTCAGCCATCGGCCTCAGAACCTAAAAAAACAACTTCGTTTGTCGTCGAAGCATTATAATCTTGCTAGTGGTGGAAAGCTCTAACACGGATTTCTCTGAAAGCTTTCGACAAATAGTCAACCTTGTTTTATAACGTCGAAATATTTCTTTTTGAACAACTTTTCAGGAATGATGCGATGCTCATTTTGTACTAGAGATGGTTCCTCCACTATGAGAGAGATTGGTATACCCCACGACCAGTAAGGTTCACCATTTTTCCATAGAGAACACAATCAATCAACCTCAGTTGACTTGGAGCGTGCGTACATTGACAACATGGGCACATTATAGTATTCCTTAGTTTTTAGGAAGCATAATTCACTTCTGTTCCGTGGAGTTATGGATTTGTCGACTGTAGAAGCGAACCACTAAAAATGGTGTTTATGTACATAGGCTAATGTCTAATAAACGCGAACACTATCTCAGTCTACTGGTATGAAAAATTTAGGTTCCTTCGAGCGCTGTTGAAGCTCAATTCCGTTCGAATAACTAATTACTACTTACATTTACTAAGTCGGCGTACTTCTTTTCTAGTAACGGTAACCATGTCACGATATACTGAACCATAACATAGTTAGTTATGGTTCTTGGTGAGGTTTTGTTAAGGACTTCGTTGATCCTGTAGGAATTTATGCCAATGGCCTAGTGTCCTCGTCTATGTGCTGAAAGAGAAAGTCAAGTACTAACTGGTCCATGTATTCTTTGCTTGGAACGGCGACAAGTGGATCTTGGAGGATATAGTCGTGGATCTCAGGCGGTGCAACAAGAAGGAAGTACTCCGTCCAGTTAACCTTAATATTTGATGTGTGCCCTTCAAAAATAAATACCAAGCGTCCTTTCCTTGCAATGATAAATGAAGTGGAAAAATGGGCTAAAGAATGGTGCAGCTCCTTATTCTTTAGTCCATTTAGTTACTTTTTTGCATATGGACTACTTTAAACCCCCTCAGAACGGATCCCCAGTCAAAGTGGCATTCGTGACGAAACCTACGGAAACCACCTTGTGCTTTTTCTAAGGCTGATATCGCTAGGGGTGGATTCCAGACAGAAATGGATTTCAGATTGCAAAAAAAAACCATATTGTCAGACGTGTTTCTCAACGCTGATTTCGAGTCTATCTCAGAACTGCAGAGCAATTCTCCGAACGGAGTTGTGGAGCTTTCACCTCATTGTCTAACAAGGAACAGGCCATTCGACTGGATACTTGCTAGCCTTACTTTTTTGCTTTTTACAGGGATATGGCAGAAAGTAGGTACTGCCACATCTTTCAAAGTTAAGCTAAAATCTCACACTTTTTTAGAAATTTGTCCATGGAGATAAAATTGGTCCTGAACATGACTCTAATTTGGCACTAAGACGCTAATGTGTTTCTTGTTAGGCGCAGGTGCGCAAACCTGGAAACTGATCCCCACTTTTTTGTAGATACGAGATCAGGTGCGCAGCGACGTAGCTCCAATGTCGACATTTTTTTTTCACAAGGTCTGAGAAAAAGCAGGAACGGAAACAGCGCAAGCATCTGACACAATGTGACCTACGATACGAGAACACTACCACTGCTCGCTGCTCAGCGATCACTTCGCTATAAGGACATTATATGGGAAAGGGGAGAGGGAGTGAGAAAATCTGGTCGGTGCCCAGCGCACATTGCATGCCAAACGATGTCGCTGTGATGGTGCGACGAACCACTTTACATTGACAGGCGTTCTCATTGCTGCGATTTGATAGACTGACTCCTTGTCAGGCCACGTTGCCTTTCAGTCAGTAGCGCAGGAGCAAGCATACAAACGTAATGGCAGCGAAATAAGCATATCTCCTGAGAAATGTTCTGCCTCTTCATGTGCTTTTATCCGTCACCAGTAACCCCGTGCTGTTAATCAGCCACCATTCGTCACTTCTTGCCTTTCCCCTGCCCTTCTGTTGCTTACCATTCATCGACTAAGATCAGAAAAATAATTGCTTCATTAGCAGCCAGCAAGGCCTCTTCTACGTTCAGCCAGGGGACACTGGAAAAACCCCACGTAATCGCATGCGTTGCGGTAACAGCGCAACAAGCGTCATCACCTGGGCTTTTTGCGGTGTCTCGTCGTAATGCCATGTGAGACAACGCGAAAGAAAAAACTTCATAAGTCCAGTCAGAGAGTCGTTTCGCAGAGTTTACAGCAGCAGATGCTATAGGTCCTACCACGAACGGCCACTTCAACCGACGTCATTCCTAGTTGGTTCCCCTTCGAGGCTTTGCCGAGCTTCTCTCTGAACCTAGGGCAGCGTTCAGACGTCGCGATTGCAGCGCATCAGTCGCGCGTTTGGCGCAATCGATGCCGTAGAAAGCATGCGCATCGATCGCGTCGAACGCGCGATCGAAGAGCTGCCGTCACGAAGTCCGAACGCTGCCATTCATCAGAATGTTGTGCCCCGCACTGCCCTTGATTCCGATAGAGATTTCTAGCCATATCTGGCACTTTGCCCGGCTTTGAAAAAGAGGGTGAATGGCGGCCACGTGGTCCAAACTCAAACATGACCCAAGTTACCATCTGTGACCGGCCTTTAATGAGCAAGATGCTCGTTTTTCCCGAAAAGCAGAAAGCTGCTCAGTCCTAATAAAATTAAAACTCATTCATTCCTAAGTATGAGATCCAGTCCTAGTGCTAAGATAGCTTTGTAACTACCGGCTGTGGCCCGGCTCACGAACTCATATCCACCTTTCTTGAAGGTGGGACAAAATCACAAGGCGGGCTAGAAGTTTGCTCCCAGGATAGGTTATCAACATTGTGAACAGCGATGACACTCTTTCGGCAAGGATACATTCCTGAAATGTGTGACGGGCCATGAGACGTCCAAACGCTGATAACACAGTTCTGCGAAAAACTTTTATAACATGCTCAGAGAGAAGCTTGTAAAATCCTAGAAGAATATTTCGAATGAGCGCTAGAAAATAATGTGACGGTGTAGGTCTTATCACAAGCGCCCACTTTGTGTCCTCCCTACTTAGCTTTTCAATGGCAAATTATTATTGGAATCCCCATATCGTCACATGCAATTCTTTTGAGCATATTCACTTCAGAAAATGTCCAGTAGCCTCTTTCGGCAAGCGACCTCCACGTAAGCTCAACCATCACAGGGCTTTGCTGAAGCCAGCAGCTCATATGCAAAGTGAGTAGTCGTTTTAGAGTGCAGTTCTGGTTTCGTGGACCTTTTTCGCGGCTAAGTTCATGTATCAGGCAAGCAATTATTCCTATAGGATGGTAGCCTGATTTTGCACGTAATGTTTATCGGTTCTCTGGTCTTGGTTTCTTCAGAGGTTGCGTGCTACAGTGGATCATTTTGACATTGACAGCTGCTCAACTTGTACAGGCCCTGCACAGCTTTCCATCAAGAAGGATTGTATCTCTATGAGGTGCCGATGTGAGCTGCCTCATGAGGCCACACCGTTTGAAGATGGTTTTTTTTTCTTTTCTATGTGGAGGAAGACTATAAACTTCATGACAAGTGGAAAAGAACAAGCTCGGATGCATACGCCTTGCTCGTTGCGGGTGACAGGGCGTCTACTGAAGCGGTGTTCAGCGCACCACCCGCTCGTTGTCTCATAGCTGCTGAAGCGGAAAACGAAAGGAGGCGATGAGGAATTTATGTAAACAATATGGAACTGTTTTGATGCTCCCCACACCAATACTTGGGGGAAAAACGAACACATCACTGGGCCAAACTCATTTCTACTGACAGGCTCCATTATTCGCAACGAACAAGTCTGTAGCTATTGTTTCTTACCAGCTTTGAGCAACCTTCCGTTAATGTCACAATCTCTACGAATCTCGAATGCACCTAAGCACGACGCTGACTAATTTCTTTCCTTGGGTGACTGTCCAAAGCTTCCACACTCATGAGTTGCTTGATGGTGATTCTTACCCTTCTTCTGCCTTTAGGGGCATTTCAGCATGGCTTCTGAGTTCTGCGAAAATTACAGCTGTGAAGATGAAAGTCGATAATCTCAACGGGGAAAATGCTGGAAAATAGCGATAGAGGACGAACGAACTGGGCGTCTGACCCACTTCGTTCGTCCTCTCTCGCTACGTATTAGGTTGTCGCATAAGTTCTTATACACGACTTTTTCGTAAATATCTCAATAGCGAACCAACCTGAAGATTAGAGGTATGCATCATCACCATCCACTACCAGCGCTCAGGCAGCTTGTCGATTCCTTCCTTCCAGAACGACGGGGGCTGGGACTTGAAGAAGTCGTCGAGTGCCTTTCTGACCTGATCCTTTGTTTCGAACTTTTTTCCGTCCAGAGAGCGCTGCAGGTGGCTGAACAGCCAGTAGTCAGAAGGAGCGAGGTCAGGGCTGTAGGGAGGGTGGGCGACCATCAGCCATCCGTACTTCTCCAGCTCGGCCTGGGTCGCCTTTGCAGTGTGAGGTCGGGCGTTGTCATGGTGGAAGTAGATTTCCGCATTCCTTCCACGAGTACGGTCGA